GTAGTACACCAATAAACAGCATTCCAACTGATCATATGCATCGATGGACAGAGCTCTAACTTCACATTCAACATCCGTGCCCAGTTACTTACTAGCTAACTAAACTAGCATTAGCTTGTTTGCCAGCTACAGCCAGCTTGTTAAAACTCATGTATGATTTTACTGGGACACAGCAGATCAATACCGGGGCACGTGTCCTAGTAAAAGGGGTCTAACTGTATGAAAAACAAATTAAATGCAGTCATCTGTAATCTTGAATTTCCTTTAAAGACATTCTTTAGAAAGTCACTTTTCTTTCAGAATGTATCTCTTGCCTGAGCACTCAGCTGTACAGATCTGTGTTTCTGTGTCAGCAGTGATCCATTTGGTTGTATTCTGAGCACACATTTCTTCCTGTTCACTGAAGCCTTGTTTCAGATGCTAGACTGAAAGAGCAGCACACACTGTAGGCAGTAGGTGAATCAAAGGGGGGGCACTGTGCTATTGTTGGCACACAGTTTTAATACCTCACCCTTGTTAAATGTGGAAGCATAGCTTTGGGAGAACATGGGAGAAAAACAATTTTCCTGGCTATCACTTCCACTGACTCAGAATCAAATTGCCTGCTGGCTGTATGCAAACACACACACACACACACACACACACACACACACACACACACACACACACACAGAGGCGTGTTGTAAGCAGCTGGACTGAGTGAGGGGACCTTTCTCCCTGTCATCTTCTCACAACTCAAGTTGGTTCACAGCAAATATAAAAGCTGGTGAAGCAGAGAGAAGTTGATCCAACCAAGAACCATAATGATCATTTCAAGTAAGAGGGATCCAAAGCCAGAGCCACACATTTGATGTGTACCCACGATAAAGAAGAAGTCACACAGCGCTCACTACTTGGCTAACATTCTGAATGGCCAGTAAGTTTCCATCACACTGTAGCTGGAGGCTACACGTGGCTTTACATTTTCATTCTTCACCTCACTAAAGACTTGCAGACTGCAGTAATGTGTGGTGTATATTAGCAGCACAAAGAAAAAGATTACCTTTCACCATTACAGTATAGTATACAGTTAATTGTCAATGATCTCTCCCAAACAATCCTTTTTATTAGCATCTACAGTTAGAGTAAGGTCTGTACAGATAGACTGTGGATGACCCATTAGTTTTATCATGTTGCAAATATGAGACAGACTCCCTAAAGAATTGCTCAGGAACTTCTCCTGTTGCACAGCAGGGAGTGTATCAACCTACTGTTGCACACTATGGTACTCGAACTGCACAGCGGCTGAGAAAGATGACCTGCATTGTGTGATCAAAACAGCACAGAGGATCAGTGGATCACCTCTTCAACAGATGCAGGGCATTCATTCAGATCAGCTCCTGAGACAGGTACTGAATATTAGGGGAGATCCATTACTCCCTGGTCACGGCCTGTTCTCCATCTAACAGTCCTGCACTGGGTGCGTACCCACTGGGCAACCTCAATGTGTAACAGGTAAAACATATGTTTATATTACTGTATTTCACAGGTACAGTCATGGGTAAATATAGACTAAATGCAGGAGGGTAGCAAGGGTGGCGAGTGAAATAAATTTAAAAAAAATTAAAAAAGCAGAATTTTATGAAACTTAAATAACTGATACATTTATTGTGAAGGCCTATGGCCTAACCTTTGACTCGTCAGCTCACATCCCACTAATAGACTGTCACTTAGACATCAACATAGACATCACTGTGTCAAAATGGATAACCTAAAAGTGAAAACAGTCAGTGGTGATCACAAAATTGTGGATAAATGCATCATTGAAGGCTAATTCAGACATATGGGAGAAATCTGATGTGGTTACAGACCGTGAGAACAACATCAACAGCGACTTTGCTGCTTGTAAAAAGTGCCATAAAGTGTTAGCATTTGATAGCCACAAGCTAGGCAATTCCTCACTAAGGGAACAGCTGCAGAGCCCAGTTTATCTTATGTGTCATGCCAGTTTCTCTCTTCTCTTTCTGGTTTGTAACTTCTACATCCATCCATCCATCCATTTTCTAAACCGCTTAGTCCCAAACGGGGTCACGGGGGCCTGGAGCCAATCCCAGCCAGCTGCGGGCGAGAGGCAGGGTACACCCTGGACAGGTCGCCAGTCCATCGCAGGGCTAACACGCAGAGGAACAACCACTCACACACACAGTCACTCTTACGGGCAATTTAGAGATGCCAATTGTAACCACTACTTCTTCTACTTTTTTATCACAACCATGTTATTGCCTATACTCCCATCTTCTGGCGAAACTAGCGTAGTTTATCCAGTCCAACCACTTGATGGAAATGCACCCAATTCGCTTTTTTTTTTTTTTTTTTTTTTTTTGTAAACTTTAAAAAAATTTGTTTCCC